AACTGAAAATAAAAAGAAATGAATCATGTTACAGTACAAGCAGTAAAGGCGATACACAGTTCTGGGGAAGTATGGAGGAAATGAGGTGTGGAAGGGAAGAAGGAAACGCTCGGAGTAAAAAGAGGAATGAACGAATATAAAAAAATAAAAGGAAAGGCGTTCTTCGGTTTCTGTTGCGTCACTTTCCTGTACAATAGTATGTTAAGCTGTAATCTCCCCCGGTCGAGGATGAGTTGGGCTGCAAGGTTTACTGGTTGAATAGAACAAGCTCATTAATCAAGACCTCAGTTCACGGGCTACAACAATGAACTCTAATTCACTTAATTTTTCAGTGTTTCGCAAACACTGCTTAGTGTAGTCATCCACAACATGATCAACGATCCAGTTCAGCTTCACTATCGACTGCAGGAACATTTCCGCTTTTAATAAAATTTTGAATACAACGACATTGCTATTACAAACAACGCAAATTTCAGAAAATTTACCTCAAAGACCAAACCGAAGATATACGACAGTACTTCCAGCAAATTTTCAAATGTTGACCAAAAAGGAAAGTGATACATCAGATCCAGTGCATCAATCCTGCAGCAAACAATGGCGCAACATTTGTAAATCTCCCAAATACCAAAAATGCCGAATAACAAAACAAAAAAGCGTGAAACTTGCCCTAAATCAAACAACTAAACTCACTCATGCAATGATTCAGCCTCTTTACGACAGAAGTAATACAAATCGGATGGAATAAGTGTATAAACTTTTTCTTCTTTTGCAGCATACATAGACCAGGCCTCCAAACGATCGTCGAATAATGGTCTCATCCTCTTTGCAAGACTGAAATTTTACATGTGCAGTCAACTCGTGAAACTGGCAAACGGGACTTGATTATTTCTGGATATTTCTGGATTAGGATTATTTCTGGATTTCTGGATTAGGAACAGGATTTCTGGATCTCGCAGAGGATTGTAGCTAAGAAAAACAGAAGTAGTCAGTCTACTACTGTAGCACGAAGCGAAAACTGATGACCTAAGGTTTACTGTAGAGTTGACTGGTCTGTGAGGAAACTCAATACTAGTTTAGTTTAAGCTGCTGCACAAAATTCCGTAGATTTTCTAATTTTAGCAGTCCTCGCCTGGAATATTAGTTTCTGTATCTGCTTGCAATCTCAGGATGAAATGTACGATTGAAAATTTTGCATTTCCCACGTCCTCGTGGGGCTACACTTTTAACTGTCTTCACTTTGCCACAAATTCTTCTGCACTTCTCCACGCCAGTTAATTGTTGCTGTATTTTCAAATTAAATCTGAGTACTTTATGTTAAATAAACTACCCCTCATCATCAGTGATTTCGCAGTATTAGTACTGGTCAATCAAACAAACCGTAAGCGGTAACATTTTGAACAGAGCTAAAAAAAACAAACGCTTTCGTAAATTTCCGCACGATTTCTGGAGATTCGGCCATTTTATAGGCCAGACGATATTCCGAGTACGATGAAAAGCCGAGAAGAGCTGCCTTCTTCGCTCTAAAAGCAACATTTTCAGCCACAATTCGTCGCCCTCACACTTCATTCGGCACGAAAGACTAATGGAAG